TTGCACAGAGGTGGAAAAATAAGACATTACCTACAGTGGAAGAATGGATGGTGAAGTTGATGGAGTTGGCTGAGATGGCGAAATTGACGGCGTTGATTTGAAATAAGACATTGTGTAATTTTAATGCTAACTGGAAACCTTTTTTGGACTTTTTGTGGGAAACAGAAAAAAATGAAATTATGTTGTATGGATTTGATTAGAAGTAATATGGGTTAATAGAAATAATGGAAGTTATGTTTTGAATTTAGAGTAAGAGTTTGATGTATATTGTTACTTATATCTGTTGCAAGGAGGGTTGGAAGTCAATTCTTTTTTTTTTCTTTTGTTTCTCTCTTTTTCTTTTCTGCACGTTTTATCTTTACTATTTTCTTTTTTTAATTTTCTTTTTCTTCTTAGTCTTTCTCTCAGTATTAGTTTTTGTTAGTTTTTTCTGTTTCTTTTTTTAAAAAATGAATAAAGTTATTATTTAAAAAATCATAATTATATAATGGGGAATTCTACACCACTCATATTTGCGAGACTGGAACAGCCTTATGGCCTGTAGGTAAGTAAATAAATAAACCAACCCTTGCTTTAGTCTTAAAAGCGAGGGGACCATTCTTGCTTAGCGAAGCAGCTTTCAGGGGATGTAAAACTTTGTTGAAGTAAAGCACCCCTTTGAACCTTCACAAAACTATATTACTGAAGCCAAGCCTGGAATTTCTTATTTCTCTTTCAAACACAACAACCAATTCCGAATAACTGTGGAAGTATAATGCAAATTAATATAAGCATTATGGGAATTAAGGATCTGGATCTTTTCTACACTATTCTATACATTTAATGCACCCTACAGTAAATGAAGCGGTCAAGCTCTTCACCAGTAAGCAGGGAGAAAGATGTCCCATTTTCTATTTAATCTTCCACCAGCCAACAAGTACCCACACCCATTCAGTGCTCTTTTTTTACCTGAGTTGGGTAGTTGACAAACTGAAGCGCTGAGTTACTGGACACCATTGCTCCCAGATAGGAGAGAGAGCAAGCTGCGTAGAGCCAATTCCGAGTCCGGTCCACCTTGACAGCGTCAAAAAACTGGATCACTGGTAGGAAAAGACCCAACAACATATGTTTAATTTAGGAACAGCAAACTATTCAAAAGCAGAGCTCAAGAGGGCTTTTCACACAAAAGATAAAACAATTTCCTTTCTTCCAATAGAAGAGAATATCTGTAGCTCAGGGTTGAACTGTGGAGCAAAAAATGTTTGCTTGCATTTCATTACCCAGTGAAACTGATGAGATTACCTACTTGGGTAATGAAGCAAACAACCAAGCTCAGAGAGCACCAAGAACTCCACAATTTCCTTCCTGTTTCCAAGACCACCTAAACTAAGAGGGGAGGCAAGAAGATGAGTTAGTCTGCCTACGAAAGTATGCTATTATGCAGTTTGTCAGGTTAGCAACAATCTAGCATTCATTCAAAGAAAAATGGAAGAAAGTCAAAATTAAATTTAAATCTTTGCCTGGCAAGAGTTCTTCCAGCCAAAGAGAACATTATATATGATTTTTTTCTCCCAGTATTGTTTACTTTAATGCTTTCTTTCAGGAAGTTGTAAATAAATTTGATGTTATGATCAGCCAGTAAAAAGTGAAAGAAAAAGCACTTCAGACCTATTTATTTATTATTTATTTATTTATTAAATCAATTTATATAGCCACCCATCTCACCACAGGCAACTCTGGGCAGCGTACAACAAAGCTAAAAACAGTAAAATACATTAAAAATATATAAAACAA